GGCAGCCCACAGCCTCTCCACTTGGCCTCTCGCCTCCTGCCACCACCCTCCCCTCCCCTCTCATGGCCCCTGCCTTGGTCCAGTCTTCTCCTCTCCTGCCCAGGTCCCTGCCCTGGATGCTCCCTAGGCTCCCAGCCCCTAGTGTCACCCCCTCCAGCCCACCTGCACATGGCAGCCAGATTCTGATTATCCCCCTCTCCCACCCAAAACCCTCCCACGGTGCCACAGTGCCCTCAGGAAAGGCCAGCCCCCTGAGAGGGTAAATCAGTGTGATCTAGCACTGCATCCTTCTGCGGCCTCACTTCTCCCCACCCCTTCCCGTGCTGTGTCCAGCATGCCACCCTGAACTTATTTTTGTTCCTCAAACATGGCAGGTCCTCTCTTGCCTTGCCAGGCCTTTGCCCTTGCTGTGTCCTCTGCCCAGAATGCCCTCCCTCACCCACATCACCTGGCTTATTTCTACTCTTCCTCCTGCTCTCAGTTCAGACCTCCCCTCCTATAGGAAGCTCTCCCTTCCCTCTCCAGCTGGGGTAGGCTCCTCCTCTGGATTCCCATAATCCCCCAGCCTTTCCCCATCACAGCCTTGTTCCTTCTGGCCTGAGCTTCCTCCTTCCAGCCCTGATTTCTCTGGTTGTCACTCTCTGGTGATATCTCTGCCTTCTCCCACTGGACTGTGAGCTCCTTAAGGAAAGAGTGGTCTCTCCTGATCACTACCATGTCTCTGGTACCTAGAATAAGGCCTAAACACAGTGGATGCCCTGTGAACATTTGTTGAAAGAAGGAATCTGGTAGAGTCAGGGACAGGGCTGATCCCGGTCCCACCGCCCATGTTAACCCACGTGTTCTGAATTTTTTATTGTTCTTTAAAACAACATTTAACTGATGGCAGCCTGCCCATGCCGGGAATGGTTAGACCACGTCATTTTTCTGTGAGCCCTGAAGCCATCAGTTAAACAGACATATCAGTCTTACCAGCAGAAGTTCGTGGGGGAACACAACGTCCAGTCATAGGGTCAAACTCCTCAGGGCTGGTGGGACAGACACACAGGAAGGAGCCTTCAACATTCTCGCAGAGGGCAGCTCCACACACACCCTGTAGTGTTTCACATTCATTCACATCTGTGAGCAAGAGACAGAGGGGAAGGAGAGTCAATGGTTGTAGGTGTCTGTGATTCCAAAGCTCTAAAAGTCTGAGCTTTCAAATAGAAGGGTATTCTTCATGACCCAGACCCCATCATCCACTTATCTTCTGGTGACAGACCCTGAATTTTCCTTGGGAGCCCTCTGTCCCTCCATTTTCAACTCACGTATTTATAAGTAGGGTTAAATCTACTCTGAGGGGTGGGCACAAGTTCCAGGCTTGGCCAACCAGATTACTGCATTTCTCTGGTTCAGAGAGATAGGCGGTGACTAAACTGGGCCAATCAAAGCTAGTTCTGGGACTTTTGGTAGAACTACCAAGAAAGAGCCTCCCTCGTTAGCCCTAGGGTTGCCAAGCTGAGGATATGAGCCCAGAGATGCCAGGGCCTTCTTTGTCACTCTGAAAAGAGTCTGCCTGAGCAGAAATACAACACGGGAAAGCAGAGGTGAGAGGGAGAGACAGCTAGCCTTGTTAGAATTCCTGGATCCAACTATGTCCAAAGTTCAAACATATTCCAGGACTTCACCATTTTAATTTTTTTCAAAGAAACCAAGCTTGTGTGCTTGTCAAATGTAATGAATATATCATTAAGATTCATGCAGTTCACTGTATATAAGTTGAACCTCAGATAAAAAATATCTGTAGGGGCACCTGGGTGGCTCAGTCTGTTAAGTATGTGACTTGAGGGGCACCTGAGTGGCTCAGTCAGTTAAGCGTCTGACTTCAACTTAAGTCATGATCTCACGGTCTGTGAGTTCGAACCCCGCAGCAGGCTCTGTGCTGACAGCTCAGAGCCTGGAGCCTGCTTCAGATTCTGTGTCTCCCTCTCTCTCTGCCCCTCTCCCACTCATACTCTGTCTCTCTCTCTCAAAAATAAAATTTAAAAAAAACATTAAAAAAATTTTTTTAAGTATCTGACTTGAGCTTAGGTCATGATCTCACAGTTCATGGGTTCAAGCCCCACATTGGGCTCTGTGCTGACAGCTCAGAGCCTAGAACCTGCTTTGCATTCTGTGTCTCCTTCTCTCTTTGCCCCTCCCCTGCCTCTCTCTGTGTCTCTCTCTCTCAAAAATAAACATTAAAAAAATCTGTAAATGCCTACTGAAATCTGGTTAGTGCTAAGTTAGAACTTAGGGAGACGTGCATTGATGGCTGCAATTTACCTTTAAACTTATCCCAGAAATAAGATGGATTACAGATACATGAGGAAATAAGGATAATAAAATAATGATAATGGAATATACGTGGTGTGCAGAAATTCATTCTACAGGGTTTTCAATTTTCTGCATGTTTAGAAATTTTCCTCAGGGGCACCTGGGGGGCTCAGTTGGTTGGGTGTCTGACTTCAGCTCAGGTCATGATCTCACAGTTCATGAGTTCGAGCCCCACGTCAGGCTCTGTGCTGACAGCTTGGAGCCTGGAGCCTGCTTTGGATTCTGTGTCTCCCTCTTCTCTGCCCCTCCCCTACTTGTGTGTGTTCTCTTTTTCTCAAAAATAAACAAACATTAAAAAAATTTGGGGGGTGCCTGGGTGGATCAGTCCATTAAGCGTCTGACTTCAGCTCAGGTCATGATCTCAT